TTTTTTTTTTTTTTTTTTTTTGTGTTTCCAGATGCCCAAGGGTCTTATCGCTGTTTTCACTTGTCAGAATTACGAGTAGCCGACGTCACATTTAGTATATTAGTGCTGTTATTGGTTGTTTGGCACAATTGTTATTGCGCTATCCGCAATTCATTTATTCAGAGGAAAGTTTTTTTGTTCTGACAATGCGCTTCGACGACATTTTGATTCCGAAGGTGAACATTTAATCATATTTTAATACAAAATACATGGTTTTTTTTTTGTTTTATGTCACCCTTCGAAGTGTAATTTAGGTTAGCAGCGGGTGAAGCGTTACAAAAAATTGATGTTCAATTATAACTCATCATCTGATGTATAGTTATGAGATTTATTTCTCTTCGGGGTTAATGTTTTAGCGTTCTGGACTACATCAGCGGACCACCAAATTAATGGCGATTGAAAGTAAAATAGTAGTTTATTGAGGTATTTGGGTAATGTACAGTTGCAGAATTGTTGGTTCACTTTGAAACATATGAAACTTTTTTTTTTTTTTTCCAATTTCAGCGGACAGCGATAGTGATATTCAGTAATTTCTGTATTTTTGTGTTTGTGAGGAGAGAGGAGGAGGGGAGGGGAAGGAGCATTATTTGTTAAGTACTAGAAAAAGTTAGTGCTTGGTGTGTGGCTAATTTAAATGCCTTTTTCTAATTTATAAATTTTCTTCTTACCAGAAGGCTTCTGCATTCTTCTGGAACTGTGTTCTTTTCTTCTGACAGTCGATTTTTTTTTAAAGGTTTGGTTGACAAATTTTAGTGAAATACGCTTTATTAAATAGTTTTTAACTTGTTAGTTTTGGCGACAAATTTGTTTACCTTTGAATTCTTTTAAGCAGAGAAATCTTTAGTTTTACGATATGTATTTGTTCGAAGTATTTCTATTTTTCCTTGAAAAAAGTGAACTTTCCGACGCAGTTTTTAAATCTTTAAAAATCTTTTTTTGAAGCGAAATACTGAGTTATGGTAATTGTTTCTTATATCACTTGCAGTAATAATGCTTGTTTCATCTGCTTTTCGGCATCAATAATAAACTATCTACAAAGTTTTGCTCTTTTGACAATTCCCGTCTTAAAGTTGCTGGGAATTCTTTTAGTTTCAAAACACTGTTGAGTTATCACTTTATTATAATTCTGTTTAGGAGTGTAGTAACTTTGCAACATAGTCCTCGATTAATTTTATCATTTTCCTGACTTTGTTAGTGGCCTAAATTTTTTTGCTTAAAATTTAAACTATTAACACATCATACCAGTTTTTCAGGTGAATAAAGTTCGACTTGTAGATAAGTTTGGACCAGAAACTAATGTGATTGGCACGATTCATGTCACTACTTCTCACGTCATATTCAAAGCTGATGATTCTGCAAAAGAATTTTGGGTTATTTTTTTTTTTTATTTTTCTGTAACATTCTGAAATGTATTTTGGTGTTTATTTAGCTATTTTTTGTTAGGGAAACAAGCTCGATTTTAAATTGTTTTAGTGGGAATTACTTTTTTCTTCTTTTTTATAGTTTTAGCAGGTGGTATCTTTCTTACATTTTTGCTTTTTAGTCTTTTTACCTTTTGGAAAGTGGAAAAATTTTCAGATCCCCAACGGGCTGATCAAAAATGTTGAGCGTGGTGCTCTTACGGTACTTGGAAGTTCGTTGGTTTTACGTTGTAAACACTTTTTAGAACTTACCTTTTTGATACCAAAAGATAAAGAGTGTCAAGATCTGTATGAAACTTTGACGCGATGCAGCAGACCAGGTATACTCTGCTTTTTATTTAAGATTTTAGATTCCGGGTACTAGAATTTTCCTCTTCGTTTTATTTCTTGTTTTTTTATTTTTTTTATTTTAGGGTATTGATTTGATTCATTTCAGTGAACATCTTGGACGTTTTTGCGTTTGAAAACAGAGAAAGGAATGGTGAAAGGCATTATGACGAGAAACGAAGAGGATGGGGTTGTCTTGATTGGAAGCTGGAATTTGCCAGACAGGGTATAGGTTCTGCTGACAGACAGATGTGGAAAATTACTGATTTCAATAAGTCATACCAGGTTTCGAGTTCAAAATTTGAGTTTTTGATTAATTTCAAGTTTGCAACTAGTTGTCGTATGAAAGAGTTTTCCATTTTCATTAAGTTAAAAACGTTACATAGTTTGAATATACCTTATTTAGCATTGCGATACATACCCAGAAATTTTATGTGTTCCTTCTGCAGCAACTACTCAAACTTTAATTGGTTCTTGTAAATTCAGAAGTCGAGCTAGGTTACCTGTACTCACTTATTGGCATAAGACAAATGCAGCTAGCATTGCAAGGTGAAACATTTAAGAAATTTAGAGTTTATAGTGTGTTTTCTACTTTAAAATCATACATGAAGTAAAACTTGGATGCAGGTGCGCTCAGCCTTTGACTGGATTCAGTGCAAGGTGTGTCGAGGATGAGTTGTTAATGAATCTGATTGCAAAAACAAATCCGACGTGTGACAAACTTTATTTGGTAGATACAAGACCAAGGGTATGAATAAATTTTTAAAAATCAAAATGTCTTGAGAAATGCATTGTTGCGAAACTTTTAGTGAATAGAGATCGCAGTTTCTTTCGGTTTTTTCGTAACTGTGAGATTTTTGAAGGCTTCTGGTTTTAGAGTTAAATTGGAAAGCCAAGGTGGTAATTAAACACATCAGATATTATCAAGAAATGGTTCATTTCTCACCACTACTATTCTCTTTTGTTTCATCTTGGTTCTTATGTTCTCAATTTTTTCGCTGGTTATTTGGTGTAAAAGCGTGATTCATTTTCAGATGAATGCCATGGTGAACAAAATGCAAGGCAAAGGTTTTGAGGACGTTAAGAAATACTCAAATATTATTTTCAAGTTTTTTGATATTGAAAATATACATGTTATGAGAACAAGTTTACAGAAATTTTTAGAAGGTTTGTCACATAACAGAAGTTGTCTTTGTTTACTTTTTTTAAAATTATAACAAAGCTATTTTATCTCATAGATTACTGTATGCAGTTTAAACTACCTCAGAGGAATCTGTTTAGCTTGCCAGCGTTCGAGAACCGTCTCCGATTATTACAAACAGTTGGAGTCTTCTGGTTGGTTAAGACATGTGAAGTGCCTTCTGGAATGTGGTGTCTTTTTAGCAAAGTCAATTACTGAAGGTGTTTCTTGTGTTGTTCATTGCTCGGATGGTTGGGACCGGACAGCACAGACTGTTAGTGTAGCGCAGCTGATGCTCGATCCCTTTTACCGCACAATTCGTGGTTTTCAGGTAGCTTTCCAAATAGTTTCTTCCATAGCCGGACAAATGTTTGATCTATTTTTTCTTTATGGTTTGAAATATTTACAGAGTGATTTCCTAATACTAGTAGTTTTTTTCAAGCGTGTACACTTAAGTGGCTGCCAATGAACTGTGCATCACTCATTTAATAATGGTGGATTAACGAAAAGTACATGTTGCATCCCTTTATTGTCTTATAGTAAATTCACTTTTTTTCGCGGACAACTAATATTAACAGATAGAGCATTTTTGACCTCATAACTTTAGCCTCAGAAGAACTTCCATTATTTGAACTTCGTTAAGTACTCCATTTTTTTTTTTTTTTTGCTGTGTTAGAGAGAAGTTTTGAAGTGCGGGTTCGCATCTGTTCAAAAACGTTTATTTAAGTATTTCAGTAATGTTTAACTTGTATACTATGAGCACGAATTTGCTATTTCAATTCTTTTTGCTTAAACAGACTCAGTAACTGCTGAAAAAGGCTAAAGTTACAGATTTTATTTTGCCGTTTCTAATATTTTATGCTGGGCAAATTTCAAGAACTTTTTGAAACTATTCAAAGAAAAAGTAGTAATAGGGTTCGGTATCTGGAATAGTAAGGCTTTCTGAGGTCTTTTTAGTAATTTTGTCGGCTATTTTACAGGCTATAGTGGTGAAGCGAAATATTGAATTATTAATTAGATTTATCTGCTGTTGTTCGTTTGTCATTTTGGAGATACTGTGGTTCATGAACTGTAAGATAGAAAAGAAATACATATTCTTTTGTTTTTATCAGTGGTTTTACCGATGCAGCTTTCTCAAAAAATATTTATAAAATCTGACAACAGGTTTAAGAAAACCTTCATGCAAATGTGAGAATGAATCCTTGCGAGATTATAAAATTTGCTATGTGAAGAAATGTAAGATTTGCGAAAAAAACTGAGTTTATTTATAGAACGTTGTTCGAGTGTAATAGGAGCTAATTATAGAAAGTTTTGAACTAAACGTTCAATCATTTGTGCGGTTTTAGGATTTTGGTTTATATACTAAAGCGCCGAATATTTTATTTTAGATTCTTATAGAAAAGGATTGGTTGGGTTTTGGTCACAAATTCGACGATCGCTGTGGTCATGTTGGAGCATACAATGAAGAAGCATCGAAAGAGGTTTAGTTTTTAATTCACAGATGTAGTCGCATGAAGAACAGAGTTTAAGCATAAGATTTCTGGTGGATCTTCCTTAATAGGTCCATTTGACAGTTATTTAATTAGATTTGAACCAACTTGTAGGTCTCCCCGGTATTTACTCAGTTTTTGGATGCGGTTTTTCAAATGACAAGACAGTTTCCAAGCGCGTTTGAATTTAACCAAAGATATCTCATTACGATACATGAACATGCTTATTCCTGCCAGTATGGTACTTTTCTTGGTAACTGTGACAAGGATCGGAAGGTTATAGAATGAATTTATCAATGCCTTTTGTTAGCGTTTTAATTAATACTTGTAATTTTGCTTTTCAATCACCGGAATTGTCAGCCTTGCAGCTGTTAACAAGGATTATCTGTACAGGGGTTCTGAAATAACGGTTGACGTTTGGATTTCAGGACTTAAAGTTGGCGGCAAGGACTCAGTCGCTTTGGGCGCATATGGATGATTGGCATGACGACTTTATCAATCCTTTCTATGAAGTTGGTTTCTTTTGAATCTGTTTTTGCACGGTACTTTTAAGTCTGATCAAAATAATTCTCCTGTTTCTTTATTTCATCAATTAATTTTATAGCATAGTTTTAGGCAAATAAATATTCTTTCTTGGGTAATATAGACTTGCACCCGTCAGCTATAGTTGTGTGGAAGAACATGTACAATCGTTTTAACTCGGGAATTTTGAAAAAGGAGAGTGTTCATGATGTGGCAATTGCTACTCTGGAACATATAGGCGTATTGGAAGCGAATATGGCTTCTTTCAGACAGGTATTGAAGACGAGTAATAGTAGATGAAGTGGTATTACTTTGTTACTTTACCGTAGGCAAAGTATTTTTAGTCTGTGGCAGAGCTGCCGAATGTTGTAGCTGTAAAACCTTTTTTCTAGGAACTAGCATTGATGAAGAAGAGAAAAAGCCAAAATGCTAATGCTGAAAAAGCTGAAAGCGAGCTTTCTGATAGCAATTCAAATTTAAGTGAAGGGATGTCACAAACTTCTGACTCTTCACAAGGTATTTTAAACTTTTTTTTATGAATTTTTAATTGTCTCTTCTTTTCTTTTGCCTATTTCTCTCTTCATAATTCTTCAGGTCCGCCGAATACCAAGGCAAGTAACGAACTTCTAACACCTAATCCGAATTCTAGAGCAGACGACCAAGACTTTGGTATTTCGGATAGCGTAGCTACTATAAATGTTTTAGTCAGTTTTTTCATAGTACTGTTAAGAGTTTGATTCGAGACCGTTTGTGTATCCTTCTTGGATTCCCTTAATGCTGTTTTACAAAAGTATAGCTTTAGGACAAGAATGTCGTTCTTCCGGTAGTTCGTTGGCAGTCGTTAAGAAATGCTGATGAATGTTCATCTCCGAGTTGCGGTGCAGAGTTCGCAACTAGAGGTGAGAGGAGGTTACACTGTTATAGATGTGGTAAAGTACATTGTCGACGATGTGTAAAAATGACTGAGGATGGAAGGGAAAGGACTTGTGATTTGTGTTCGAGTTTCGGTCGCAACTAAAATAATATTTAATGTGATTTACTTACTCATTGTAATACGGGTTCCCTTGTTGTTTCCATCTGTATTCGCCCAGCTTTGAATTTTACACTTACCAAAACGGGTTTTAACATATCAGACTATTGTTGCTGGACGTTACGGCTTTTACTAATAATTTTAACATAAGATTTAAAGCCCTGAGTTTTAAGTTTTTTTCAAAGATTTTTACTTCGAAATTTTATCACTTGGTAAGATCTCAGTCAGCATTTGTTTGTCGTATGTAATTTTTGCTTGCTGGAATTTTGTCCATGCTTGCCTAGTAGGGAAAGTGAAAAGAAGATGTCGTCAGAGCTACGTTTTGCGACATTGTGGGCTACTTAGAGTTTTTCCTTCCTGCTCATTTGTTGTATTATATTCTCAACAGGTATACTTAATCTTTTAAATCACAGATTCGGAAGTATTATGTAATTTTGATCTTGGAATTGAAAATGTTATTTTATTAATTTGAATTGCTTTAGCCATTGCAGTGCAGGTTAGACTGCGGAATATTGTTTCTACGCGTTAGGCATTTCCTGAAGTTTATTCTTTCAAGTTCCTCTGGTACTGAGTTAACTTGTAGGTGGAGATGTATTGTGTGTTCACATGCTGAAATATTTTTTATTGCTTTGCAAGCATTCAGTAGTGTTTTAATACTGTTGCATATTTATGAGAGTAACATTTTAGTTTATGCTTCATAGCCATGTTCCATTTCTAAAACAAGTTTTGTTTCTTTTGTTATTTTTGGATGATGTTGTCCATCTTGCTTCTTTTTCGTATGAATATAACTAATAAATTTGTTGAACTGCCAGTTTCGAAGCTGCGACAAAAGCCTCACGGGTTTCGTATTTGTGCCTGGGGGCAACGTTGACACGGAGCCGGAGTAAAAGCGGGCATAGTTCAACTTTTCGAGGGGTTTTGATCGTCCAGTTGTTTTTGTAACTAGAAATTAAGATTTTATTCATTTTGTTTTGAAATCTGGGGTTTTTTTATTTTTTGCTTTACATGAGGGCCAGAGTTTTAGTGCACTGTGGATCGCTGAGATATTACTCAAGGACCAAATGAAGAGACAAGCCCTAAAATTCCCCAGTACAAGCGACTATAAAAAAATTTTTCTGGCGTAAGGCGGAGTAAATCAGATAAGCAAATAAGCATATTTGGTTTGATTTTCTGGCAGTATCTCGATGCTGCTGCTTCCAAACAAGATGACTGTTATTATTCTGTAGGATTTGTCAAAAGACCCGGTAATAGTGAGTTCATTTCATAAACTGTCCTTCCACCTAGAACTACCTAAATCAACGGTTATTTTTAACGAGCGTATTACATCGGTACTCCTTGATCACTCAAGTTAAATAAGCATGACAGAACCTCCCAGCTTTCTTAGCGTAACTCATATTTTTTGATCGACAAATTTTGTTCACATCACTTTATTTAGATCCAAAGAAGCACATCAACGGCAACACATGGAAATACAGGCTTTCAAACAATTATTTTGAAACTTGCTTTAGACTCATCCTGCCGATGCCTTCCAAAGCCATCATGCGGTATGCCGACCCTGCGAGACCGATGGATAACCACCTAATGCACTAATCTGTAGATTATATCATTTTTGAAGTTCGAATAAACGTTTTTGAGGTTGGTAGGTGTGAACAAGGTATGCATGCTGGCAAAAACTGTTTTTCAATAAAAACCTGCTCGTCTGCAAAGTATGTAATGAAAAATGTTAAAGATTCATGGGAAACAACTGAAGGTGCGACCCTACATAGAAAAAGGTGTCATGTGGGCCCGGTATTTATGAAGCTAGCACTTGAGCTGTTTAATCCCACATAGGTTTCAAATACAGCATTGGTAACGAACCCCCCGTATAGAAAGAGGAAGAAAAATCAAACAATCTTTTCACTGTATATAGGTAAATGAACTTGACAGAAATTGAAAAACAAGATTGATGGCTGGCAAATATGAAGTAAACGTTCGCCTTTTACACAATCTGTTATGGTGAACAGTCGAGGCTGACCGCTATTATTGATTTATTTAGAGCTGTACCGCTTTAAGAAGGACCTACCGTAATCGGTAGAAAGCATACGTTATACCAACTGAATGAGAACCACATTACAGACTGTAGGAAATCGGCCGATTACCAACGGCACTAGTTGGTCGTTTCAAAGATCTAGCATATCAGTGACCGTGAAATTTGGTTGTTGTAAACACCTACAACAGATCAAAGTTCAAATGGTGACATTGTCGGCCACCATACCAAAATTACTGAAATCATAGAACGATTTTCGGCGACAGACTGCTGCACTGATACTTGGTTTATTTTTTTTGCTTATTTTCTTTTTATTTTGTTTACTGCTTGAACTTTTTACTTTCCTTGCATTAGTTTAGCTTAGCTGAAACAAAGAGAATTATTGGCAGTTGTGAAGGCTTAAATCAACATTTCTGTATCGTCAACAGTTCCGAATGTCTTGGTGCTATAAAAACCTACGTGATTGTAAGGTAAATATTATTTTTTCAGGTAAACAAAATTTCGGGCTAATTGATGTAGTTTTTTAGTTTTTGTGATAATAATTCACCAATCTTAATACCTGGGTATTGCTGGCTAGCCTTGTAGGGCACCAAATTTATCTACAAATGTTTCGTTTTGCAGGCTTGGCTGGATGAAGGTTTACCGCTGACAACAACGTCAAATGAAGCAGCTAAATTATTTGACTGCTTGATGAGACAGTATATAACATGGACAGATTCCGGAATGGAGGAGACCAGAAAGAGCTTATGGGAATCTCATCCTCAGTTTTGTAAAACTAAGAATTTTTAAATTTGTTTTACTCGTTCTATGGAATTTAGGTTCTTCCAGTCTGCAAACATACTGAATTTTTGTAGTGATGGGTAATATCCTGAATTGCGGACTAACGGCCGTTGGTACAGCTAAGTCGGCCTTGAACGATTCTGGTTTTAAAAAAGATTGTGATGATTTGAAAATGAGTGCTGTCACTTTTGGTAACAAGCGAGAACAACTTCATGCCGAGGCAGTTTATGCATTCGCTTATGGGTACTCATTGTATATATTCAAGAAATATTGTTCTTTGGTCATCTACGCATATAACAAACTGTTTTGTTGTTAAACTGTGAACATTCGTAGCAACTTAAACCAAGCAACGAGATACTGGGAGAATTTGCTGGAGAAATATCCCAATGATATATTAGCAGCGAAATTTCTTCACGATACCTATTTTTACCTCGGCGACAAAGTTCGCCTTGAAAGGACTGCGGCAAACGCTATAAAAGCCAACAGAGAATCTGATCCGTGTTTTAGGTCAGGAAATTATTATTTGCCACGTTTCTGATTTCTTCTAAGTGAAAAATTTTTTCAACTCATTCATTTCTCACCTTTATTACACCTCTAGCTTTCTTTATGGGATGCACGCGTTTGGTTTGGAAGAATGTGGTAACTATGTTGATAGCGAGAAAGAAGCTCGACAGGTACTTCAGTTTCTGATTATTTTTTCCGATTTCAAGAAATAATAACGAAATTTTTATTCATCTAGGTTTTGAGAAAGGTCTCAAAGATGTCTTTCCATTAATTAAAAAAAAGTACTCTAAAAAGAGGTTTATTTTATGCTTATTGATCACCATTCTTTGAAAGCAACAGTTTTAACAGCTACATTAGGGATTAAGTCTAGAGGCCGGCGATGCATGGGCGACTCATGCAGTAGCACACTGCATGGAGATGACAGGTCGCTTTGAAGATGGGATTAAATTTATGGAGGCAACTGTAAAGTGTTGGGAGGTAAAATTAATATAATTTTTTCTTACTTTTTTTTTGTGTTGACAACTTTAACTTTTAAACCTTTAAGAGAAATTTTTTGTGATTTTCTTTATTAAGTTCAAATACTTGAAACTAATTTCTCGCAGTTCTGTATTTTAAGCCGTCAGGTATGCTGGCGTGTCATAATTTCTGGCATTTGGCCTTATATTATTTGGAAAAAGGAGACTATGAAAGTGCGCTGACGTATTACGATAGGTTAGTGCAGAGTAATTGGCGATATTGGGATTCCAAGATAGGAGGATAATCAGGGCTGAGAATGAAAGTAAAAAAAAAAAACAAAGTTAACAGGCTCTTGTGCAAATCGTAGCTTTTCAAAATATTTTTCTAACACTGAATTGCTTTTGAAAATGCTTTTTCTAGTGAAATAAGCAAACGTTCAAGAAGTGGCCAGCCATTAGACATTGTTGATGCAGCTTCCTTGCTTCTTCGACTTGAAATGGAGGGAGTTGGACTTGGGGACCGTTGGGATGCTCTTATTGGAGTAATCGAACCTCGAATTTATGGTAATAAATGCAAAGCACGGGTTAAAACAGTCTTACTTTCGAATAATAACTGCATGATCTTTGCTTAATAGATGCTTGACAGTGGGAGAAATTTGATATATTGAGGTTTCTTTGACGCCGAAGTGTTCGTGTAGACTACCTAGCCTACGAAATGGTCACGAAAGCTTTTACTGCATAACTTTTTGTAGATCACACATTAGCTTTCAACGAAGCACACTATCGCATGGTGTTGGAGAGTTGTCCTGAACGTAAGCTGACTGATAAACATCGCCAAAGTATTGAACAATTCCTCGGGTATGCTTTCTTGCTCGTTTTTTGCAGGGCAAGAACCCAATTAGTTGTTTTCAAAGGGAAAAAGTGTGGCATCTGCCAAGGATGCTGATCCAGGTGGAAAAAAGCTAGAAAATTATGTCTTTCTAAGATTGTTCGAGGTATTAGTACAAATTTAGTTAGTTTTTCTAAAAATCTCTTAAGAGGCTTACTTTACTAATTGCTTCCAATAATTTGCTACTAATTTACTTGCATATTCAAGTTGTTAATTGTGCGAACTTCAGCGCGAACGAGAGTGCGGAGACCTGCCAGGTTATGAAGGAGTTTGGCCAAAGCATATGCGAAAGCATTTCGAAATACAACGGAGGAAATTTTGATGAAGTTGTTGAGTTACTATTCCCAATAAGGCATGATATTTATCAAATTGGTGGCAGTGAGGCTCAAGTCAGCTATTTTTTTGCTTACGCAAAGAATCCACACTTAATTTTTGATTCAAATTCTTTAAAAAGCAAAAGTCTGTATTGGTGTCATTTGCTAGATCATATTATTTATCATTTTCAGCGCGACATTTTTACTCAACTTCTGATTCATAGCGCTATTAATGGAAAAAATTTGTCTTCAGCCCAAAAAGGATGGTTAGTTTTGTTAATTTTTTTCATTATTTGCCATGCCACCTTCATTTTACAAGTCTTCTTCATTGTAAACTTGCGCATTTAGATTTTAAAATGTTGAGACTTCAGAACTAATAGCAAGAAAAAACATTTTGAAATTTCATTTGATGGGTCAGTAGTTGAAAAACATTGTTGTTTTATGTTAAAACAATCAGTCCACCACTTGCATTAAGCAAGTATTACCAAGCTGTAAGTGGTATCTGTTTGAACTGCAGATACTGCTTTATTTTACAGTCTTCTCCGCTACTTTTTCATTTTAATTTGACTGACATATAAAAGTGGTAATTTTAATGAAGCGTTGCGCTGAAAGTAACCCGCAAGTTCCTGCACACCTATTTTTACAGGTAGGGTGCAACTTTTACCAATTTGCTTTTATTCTTTCGTCTTCTTGCAAAGATTGACGTGAAGTAGCAAAGTTGTTATTTTTAGATGCTTTGCAGTCTAACTGCTGAATAACATGCAAACTTTTTAAAAATATTTTATAGGAAAGACTTTTTTTATTTGGTCTTCTGCTCATTTAATATCTCTCGTTTTTAGCTTAGTAGCGGCGCATTAAGCATTTGCAGTTTCAAAAGTTTTTAAAACATTTTTGCTTACGTGTTAGTAAAACACAGAATGGAGTGCGGGTTTTTCATCTTAAGGACAATGACGGGTTGATTAAGCAAGGTTTCTCTTATATTGGTAACTCTTGGAAGATAGACTTGAAAGGCTAGTCCTGGCATACATTTAAATGATACTTTGCATTAGATTAACTCAATTTCTTATGCCCAATCTGGTTCACTTCATCTCTCATCTTTCCTTTTTTTTTTTGTATTTCTGTGATATTTGAGATGCTGGTGAGCTACGTTCGGCGGCGAGCCGAGTTTATGCTCGACATTCAACTGGTATGTCATTTAGACGTCTTCAAGTTTGGAAGTCTCAAAAAAAGAAAAAACGAATTGAGTAAATAAAGCAGAGGGGTAAGAAAGCTTTTCTGTTTTAGCTTTCCGCTCTTCTCACTTTCTTCTGTCCCACAATAACTGATTAGCGGGAGTTTTTTGTAAGCATGTAGCTGCTTTGATATAGAGAGAAGATAGGCTTGGAATTCCAACAAGAGACTGTGTTCCAACGAAGTATTTTCAATTAGTAAGTTCCTATCACTTCTTCAAATGGCAGATTTTTTGATAACGTTGTTTAAGAGTACTGCTTAAATGAAGGATTATGGCAGCATTCAATAAGGGAAGTCTATTTGTTCTTGTTGATTCATATTAAGAGAAGTTTCATCAGTTATTGTAGATGCAGTAACCTTAATTTTTGAAATAACGCGTGTTTTGTGATGTTAAACTTCTTCTGAGAAAACGCTCGGGATTATTTAAAATTATTGGTTGGAGTTTTTTGTCTATACCCAGTGCCTACTAAATTACTACTATAAAATAATATTTAGGGCTTGCATCAATGAACGAAAAGAACTGAAGAAAGGTTCGTTGATATCTGATCGGCTTTCAGCGCTACTGCAGAAAAGACTGAACTCAACTGGGTAGTTGAGCTTTCGAGGCTACTTTAGTAGCTTTTAAACCTTTTATTATTATTATTTTCTTTGAGATTTACTTTAATATAGTGAAAGCAGTTGATTTAATTAACTACAGAGTATCTTATTCTAGTAATACTTGGTAAAACAAATTAGACGCTGGGAAGCATTACCTGTAAGGTCTGCACTTTGTAGTATTGTTGCCAATTTGTTAACAATGTACTTTTTTACTATCTACCTTCATAGAATTTTAAGACCGGTCGACTTTCCAGTTTTTAGAATACAAGAGTTGAATTATTCTCATCATCTAATAATAAAACTTCTTTGAGTATGCTTTTATGTAATTTGGATGCACATGTGTTTTGAACGGAGATAAGGTTAAAGATATTACACTCAGGAAGTTTGTTGCTAAAAAGAACTGTGAAGACATATTCGCAATGCTGAATTCAATTCAGGAACGCAGTTTGGAATTTTGGGTAGTATAGTATGAAGCTTAGCGACCGAATGCATGTGCAGCTTTAATTTGAACTGCCATATATGAAAAAGTAACCGAGAGCATTAGCGATGAAAAAAAGTTCATCGAGGGTGTTGAAGGTTGAACTTGGTCATAGATTTCCGGAACCTTACGACTCCCCTGTTCAGGAGGCTCATAGTCGCGGAGGGGGGGGGGAAGAGGGGAAGGAGGTACACTTCAAAACTGTGGGTAGGGATTTTTCGTGACGTTCCGAAATTCCCTCGGAAGGAGATTTTCAATGTATTGGTATTGCTGAAGCATTGGTTTTGACAAGTGTCATAGGTCAGTTATGTTGGAATTGTTTTCACAGTTACACCACAACTACCAGTCAGAAGCGATATGTTTCACAGGATATTTTCTCAGTCGAATCTGCCACCACTTGTTAAGTGGACTTTTTCTTCGGAAAAAAGCAGTTCTTTAAATAAACAAAAAGTAATTTTTCACTGAGCGACTGTTTTGAGGTCTTTAATTTCAACTTGCATATATTCTGTATGAATTTCAATACAGTGATTAGTTAGTGGGCTTTTTAATAAGGCACGAAACTTATGTAAACTCCACTCCGCAATTTGCATTGTTTAATTCACATAGCACTGGAAAAACAGGAACAGGAAAAAATAAGAGAGAGTGACGAAAAAAGTCGTAAAGTACATAGTTATTTTGAAGAAG